ATAGAATTAAGCTATATTCCAACATATTAATCAACAATTGCTCATGTTTTGACAGTAAAATAAGTATGTAAAACGTACTTATCAGATTTCCATTCAATTTGGTAGATTTGCCCATCTTTGATGTAGATTAAAATTTGATAAGTATTTCAAATCAAAGTTAAATAATTAATTTTAACCATATATTTTATGAAATCTTAATTTTTTAGTCACACATTTAATCAAGTCCAAAACAACTACCTCAAATTGTTGAATTGAGAAGCAACTTAGCATTCAACTGTTACATCTGACTCGACCTCTTCACCTTCCACCATCTCTGTAGTTAATTACAGGTGTATGGCATTTTTCCGTTGATACTGTTTTTGTTTCGCACTGATCGATAGGAAGAGCGCAAATTAGTAGATGAAAAAGAAGATGCAAAAGCTTTTGCACTTACTTGCATACACTTTTGTTTTCTGTATTTGGTACTTGTACTCTATGTAAGTCTCATTAGCTAATAGTAGGGCTCAGGTGAACTAAGCGATGCAATACTTTAAGCCATATCCGAGACCATTAGCTTTAGTTCCCCTCTCACCAACGCTTCCAAACTTGCCAAGAAGTGGCCTATTCCTACGGTACATGTCGTTATCAACTAACTTGAGTTCTAAATAAAGAGAGGTGGGGCAAGAAATCGAATGACAACAGACCAAGGAGCAAAATTGCTGGTTTATTTATTCCGATAACATAGAACTTTAACAGACTTCAGCTCAGAGACATCATCACATGGGTCCGTACCCCAAGCATTTATAACTCTGAGAATACTATTTGCCCAGTTGAGCTGTTGATGTATCAGACTTTTACCTTCTAGTTTCCCTCTGGTCATCACAATAAGCTAAGCTAAATGAGCAACATCGCCATCCACTTGTAAGATATCAAACAAAGGTAATACTGTAGCTTTGATATATTCTAAGTGGTAGATTACGAAGGTGAAATTCATCAATCTTTCCGTTCATCTAAAACTTGATGATGATGATAATGATGATGATGATGATGATGATGTTGGGCCTCCTGTTTGGTCTAAGCCTCTCCTATTGGAAAGAAATGAACTACAGATGGATCATGAAGATTACCCCCACGCGATTCACGTAAGTAAAGATGGCTGAAAGATGACGGCGTGAGAGAGAAAAGTGGGAAGGCTTGCCTCAAGGACTTGAAAAAGCGTGTTGGAGGAAGGAATTCCGATAAAACTGATTGCCCTCACGCTTAATGCCCGAGGAAGGGAAGGTTCTTTCCCATTTCTAATTTCAGTATGAATGGTATCGTCATGTTATTGCGGCATTTTTGTCAAAAATTTATTAAAAATCAGGTTTCAAGTAACTCCAAACAGTGCCCTAGGCCCCACACATGAAAGATTGGCCTAATCCATAATTGGATTCTGGCCGACGACGTGTCATCCTTCACATCTGTTGTTCCTTTTCTTCTACAGACCCTTCTCTCTCTGCAAGAACCACCTTACAATCAGTTATACACACACAGAACCTGGATAGAGAGGCGTTAATGGCCTCCATACTCCATGCCCCATTAACCACCCCTTCGAAACTCAACCTTTCATGGCGGCGCACCTTAGCATCCGACTCCCTTGCCTCCACTTCCTCCCACTTCCTGTCTTCTTTGTCTGCCACTACAAGTAAAGGTAAAGCTACAAATCGTTTCTACTTCTAACTTCCATGTCCTAAATTATACTACTGTAATGGTGTAGTGTTCCTGATAATGTTGGCAATGCTTAGGCAGGGGTAATGTGGTGATGATGCCTATAATAAGGTGTAATGCTCAGGCGGCACCAGGGGCCGTCAATTTGGCGCCAGGGACGCCGGTGAGGCCTACGAGCATACTTGTAGTGGGTGCAACGGGAACATTGGGAAGGCAGATTGTGAGGAGGGCATTAGACGAGGGCTACGATGTTCGGTGCCTTGTCCGCCCCAGACCTGCCCCTGCTGATTTTCTTCGTGATTGGGGCGCCACTGTTGTCAATGTAAACTCACTGACTTTCCCTGCTAATATTTTCGTTTTCTACGTCACTCAAATTATGAAATTATTGAATCATTTGGATGTACGAGAAATAATTGTATGGAAATTTGGCAGTTTTCTTTGGCACTGGAATTTCTCAGTCGGTTTTCAATTTTGTGTTATCTAATGGAAACAGTGTTATTGTGCCTTTTTGAGTCCTGAATGAGGAATTTCCATCCAACTGCAATTCTCCTTTTATTCTTGAACTGATAGAATTTGCTTTGGCATTGTGTTGAAATGTGCACTATCTCCGTTTATATGTTAATGTAAAATGTTTAAGATAGGGTACTGAGTGTAATTGTTTTTTGGGCAGGCAGACTTGAGTAAACCTGAAACCATACCAGCAACGTTGGTTGGAATCCACACTGTCATTGACTGTGCTACAGGACGCCCTGAGGAGCCGATTAAAACCGTAAGCACACTTGCCACTGGAATGACTTCCAATTCTTTGTTTAATGAGAAGTTTCTACAGGGTTACTCAAGGTTTTTCTGTTATGAATTGGGTTAATTCTTTATGATATATCTTCTATAATTTGATTCCCGTGTTGACTTTAGGTAGATTGGGAAGGAAAGGTTGCTCTTATACAATGTGCAAAGGCCATGGGTATCCAAAAATTTGTCTTTTTTTCCATTCATAACTGCGACAAGCATCCTGAAGTTCCGCTCATGGAGATCAAGAACTGTACTGAAAAGTTTCTTAGGGATTCAGGACAGAACCACATCATTATTCGTCTTTGTGGTTTCATGCAGGTTGACAAATGCCTTCACTTTAATGAATGTTCTGATGCGCTTCCTTCATCTTATTATAGAAATGTGATATCATTAGTTTAACATTCTTGCTAAGTGCATTAGTGTTCAATTTGGCCCTTAATAAGCTTATGAATTTGTTAATTGGCTCTAGACAAAGTAACAAAAAAGTGTACATTTTTGTGTAAAATATTAAAATGTCTTCCCAAGTTTACCATGAAAATTGAGCAACATTGGCGAAGAAAAAGGTGAGACGGTGATTAGTGGAGAAATTTTACCATAAAAGACCTAGTAAATTATTATAATTGGAAGGCACAAACATTACAAAAATACTCGTACTTTTCCACAAACTCTTTTGATTACTATTACAAACAAATTGCTAAATTTGTTAAATTATCCTTCCCTCTCAAAATAGATGGGCATATAGTTGTTATCTGTTTCATAACTTTTGTTTTGTCCTTTTCAGTCGAATAATTTAACATCTCAATTAGCTTATTCATTTGCTTGATGACTATGAATTCTTGATACCAATTTGTCCAGGGCCTGATTGGACAGTATGCAGTACCTATATTGGAAGAGAAATCTGTTTGGGGTACTGATGCTCCTACTCGAATAGCATACATGGATACCCAAGTAAATATTTTAGATCTAATCACCTGCTTCTTTTGTTCAAGTAAGTGACACTCAAATAGTTGTCTCATTTTCTCTAGGACATTGCTCGATTAACATTTATAGCTCTACGCAATGAGAATATCAATGGGAAGCTTCTGACTTTTGCCGGGCCTCGTGCATGGACAACCCAAGAGGTAAAGTGTAATATCCTGGATTGAGCAAGATACTATCTAGTTCCTTGATTTATTATCAATATTTCTTTCTTGATACTGCCATTGTTTCTGAGATTCAATGTTAACTAACAAAATACAGTTAGTTAAAATTCATTTTGTTGAGAACCTATCATGCTTCCTTTTTCTTCGACTCTCTTTCTCTCTTTATAAATGGATGTTCCTCAACAGGACTCTCCCACCCACACTCAACTACCATGTGATATGAGGAAGAAACCTCGTGCTTCATTATTTCCGCATTGTCTAGATGCCATAATCATGGATTTTTTATTATTATTATTTTCAAACAATAATAAAAAGGAAAAAAAGATCTTGGTTGTGAGACTCATTCACAACCACATGAGTTGATAAAGGAAACTTTATGATTTTGTGTCTGCTTTTCCAAATATTTTAAATGGCTCTCGCAAACCATATCATGCCGGAAAATACATCACAGAAGTAGACTGTCTTCATAAAATATTTGGAATTGGTAATAATTTGAAGGAGAAAAAGGGTGCTAAAGATCACCATAAAACAGGAAGATTAAATCCCTTGGACCATTTTTCGTTGCTTCTGTACCAATTTTCTTGAGGTCTACTTATTAAGACTTGGAGTTCCATTTTAAAATGTCAACCTTATTAAGAAGAGTAATCCAAGTCCTTATATGTTGGTCTATAATTTCATCTTTATTCGATGTGAGATTTTTCCCTTAACATGTCACTGCAAGACGGTGTCTCGTTTGAACAAACCAATCTTGAAATCTGCCTGCTCATTTTTTTAAGTTTTAATCGGATCGAATTGCTCGTTGGAACTTAATGAACTTTAATACCATATTATGATTTGGAGTTTTTTCTTAAAATGTCAACATTATTAAAAGGAGTAGCCCAAATCCTTATATGTTGGTCTATATTTTCATATTTATTCAATGTGGGATTTATCCTTTAATAGTACTTGCCAATGCTATTTGAATTTACCATTTAAAGTATTGTCTTTTAGCTAACATTTATATAATATCCTATTCAAAACTAAAGTTGTAGAGCTTTTAGCTTCTTATGTTCCAACTTAAATAAAGTGATCCCAGAGTATGCCAGTTACGCCATTCTGAAGTTTGTACCTTGAGCTGCAAGATTTCATCCATCCTTTGATCCATGGCAAGCGAACCTTTGTGCCTTTATACTGAAATATGCAATGAACTTTATTAGTACTAGTTTGCTTATGTTCTGTTAGAATGATATAATTTCAGGAGCACTTTAGTGAGGGGAAAAATGTAACTTACTAACTTGACCTAAGAGCATTAGTTCCAAGTATTTCTTTCCTTATCCATAATCATAATACTTCAGCGAAGGATAAGTTTCCAGCATTATCAATGCATATGTACTCTGGGAGAGTGTTTTGTGGAGGCTTCTTTAGAATTTGTTCCTATTTTCAGGTGATTACATTGTGTGAGAGGCTGGCTGGTCAAGATGCAAATGTGACCACTGTGCCCGTCTCAGTTTTGAGATTGACACGCCAGCTGACTCGCTTGTTTGAGTGGACTAGTGATGTTGCTGATAGATTGGCATTCTCAGAGGTAATGATCTTTTTGTTTTTCCCTTTTATGATGGTTCGTAATTACTAATGCTTGAAGTGAGAAAGATTGTATCAACAGTTGAAAAGGTTTTCTCCCACACAACTTTCACAATATACTGCAACATGATCGAGTAGATCCCACCACCAATCACAATCTATCCATTCTTTAATTAAAAAATCATTTCTTTGATGTTAGAATTACGAAAACTTCTTTCTTCCAAGATGTTTTTCAGACAATTTTGCAGTGCGCCTTGTTTTTGGACCTTTCATGCCTTTGATAGTCCATTGTGACTACAATTGCACATTTCTATTAATCTTTCTTTCCTTGGTGGTCTTTCTAATTTTAAATTATTAGTAATTCTTTTGCGGGGACATCCGTAGGTTCTTACTAGCGATACCGTTTTCTCGGTCCCTATGAACGAGACTTACAACCTTCTTGGTGTGGATGCAAAAGATATCGTTTCCTTAGAGAAATATCTGCAGGATTATTTCACCAATATATTGAAGAAGTTGAAGGATCTCAAAGCACAATCAAAGCAAACTGACATTTTCTTTTGAAAGGAAATTTTCCATTCTACACACATAAGCTGTATATGTATTGTGTCATTCATCTTGTATTCATAGAGAAAATGTACATGTACTTGGTGAATAGACAGTTGAATGGCTATGACTGAATTAACCGCAATAAAACTAGATACATATTTTCACTGGATCTCTTATTACTATAGCATGTATGATTGTTTATTTTATTTTGAGACATTGCAACTTTGAAAAATGTAAGATAATGAGCGTGATCTTGAGAATCATATAAATATTTTTTAACGCGCTAGTTAGCCGTGGCTTTGTGCACAATGTTTGAGGCTCACGTGGGGTTGAAGAAGTTGGCATCCAGACCATTAGCCACCAAAGATCTCAAAGATGCAGCAACTAATAATACGCTGAGTACCATTCCTGAACAACCCAGCCCTATGTTGAGACACCACATTTTACTATACCGGCATGGCTTCTTCATGGCAACCCACATGAAACATGGATATGCCAGACTCAGAGGCAGTGCAATCGCCCCCATGAACGCTCCCAGACTTGCCAAGAACGGGAAAGCCATTGCTATACAGTATGTCAATCCTCCAAACAAGATTCTGATTCCTGACCGGAGCCATCCAGGGCATGGCTTGTTTTTCGTGCTAGTGTAGAGGCGCTCCAAGTTGTCAAAAACCGGCATGGCGTAGATTTGGAATGCACATAAGCAGTTTATCATCGCTATCATGTATATTGTACCAACAATATACTTTGATGTATTATTCCAGTAGAACTTGTCAAGTGGAACCAGAAAATTTGTAGAACTTGCCATATTTTCACAAGTCCAATATCCTACAATTGCAAGGGGATATAGACACATCGCAATTAGTAGATATGATATTGACACTCCTCTCCACATAGGCTCGTGCGACGGGTGTTTTCTGTTTGTAGGCATAGTCCCCTGCAGTAACAAAGCACTCTTCAATAAACAAGCAAAAATGTCATATACTTACACTACAAGGATTCAAATGATGAGTTACCTGTATCTCAAGCACAACATTGTGCCCTCTAAAAGCAAGAGCAATGATTCCAAGACCATTCAAGACATTACAAATGCTATCTAAACTCGATATCTTTGCCTCCCAAGGACCTTTCTGGTCGGGCCTACCCTTCATGATGATGGACAAAATCCATATCAGGCTACAATATGCAACAGCTGTGATTGATCCGATAAGCGATATGTGCGCTAAGGAATCCAAGTTCGGAAAGAATTGAGCCACCAAAATTGCCGAACATATGAACACCAAGAACCACTCCGTCCCTCTTAGTGATCTCGGATTACATTCAATATCATCCCCACAAATGGCTTGGTAGAAAGATTCCAGGGTCTTTCCCGCAGTAATTATGTACAAGACGCATGCACCACCTGATAGATACATTGTTGGGAATATGGCAAGCAACTTCCCCAATTTTTCACCTGTAATATTGTTTACAAGACAAGCATCGCATCAAGATGCACGTTTGATAGCATTTATATTGAGATGGGATGGTTTTATTTGATACTTACCAAAGGCTGCGATTGAGAGGTGGAGATATCTACTGTAACGAAATCTTGATGGCGATTCGTGAAGATTGATGAGAAGCCACATCGTGTAGAGCTGCCAACAAAATGCTATAGACAAACAAATAGTACCCCACAGCCTGTAAGCCATTAATCAAGTAAGCACGAATATATTATAAACTTGTGTTTCTATGTATTGAAAATTTGAGCAGATGTCAAAAATAGAGTGATTTTAGTATGTTTTTGTACGCAGAAATGACTGAAAGAAGGACGCATGAAAGTTAAGTACTTGCCATCCGAGGGTGAGGAATGCTATAGGTAGTGATAGGGTCTGAATTCCAATTCCCGAGCACAGCAAATGGGACGCAGAGGTAAAAGCATTGCCCTTTCTTGATTCAGTGATGGGTAGCCGGGCATCTGCTGGATTCACCTCCTCGTGTTCCACTGATGTTTCTAAGTCGACTGTAATAACTTGCAGAATTTGTTGCTCGCTTTTTGTTGCTAATTTTAGTGATGATATCGTTGTATCTACATGCACATTTACCATTTCTGCCTTGCACTGCATCTGAAGAACATGTACAGATAGATCATTAATCTTCAAGACAGAGTCTATATATAAGAGCAAATTTAAGTGGGATTCGGCAAAACTTTACATGCATGCGGCATCACACTGACTGACACAATCACCATGACGTTTATATGTGACTTCACTGGGGAATACCTTGCTTTCGTTCTCAGGGGCAACAAAACATTTTACTTTTGTAACGTAAATTTCTAGAAGCTTTGAATCTTCAATAACTTGAATAAAATGATTAGTACTCGAAAAGGTGGGTTCTATTTGGGAATTTCCGGGTGGGTCAAGCAAATTTGACGTTATCTCCTCGGATCCACCAGAGGCTGGAGGTGAAAAGGCCAAAAAGATAGAATTTGTCCTACTTAGAATTTGTCCTACTTCAGACAGTATGAATATCCTGCATTACTTACGCAAGATGATGGTGACCACTGAGACTGCATATATACTATTCGCCTAACCATACAAGCCCTTTTTACCTGTCTACTCAAGAAAAAGCCAAGAAATAAAGGCTCTATGCATGACCAATTGTCGAAGCGATAAAAACATGAAAGAGTTATTTTTTCCTCTAATATTGGCCGGCCAGGGTGTCAAATATTCCTTGAGAGTAATAGTTAATATTTTGCAATGTTCTTGAGTAGCAAATTCTGTTGAGCCCTTTTGTGTAATGGTTACATGGACAATAGATGTCGAGCCAATTCGCGTCTACACGAGCAAATTCCAACACGTTTTGACCAGAGATTTGGATGGGAAAAGATGGTGTTTATGGACATGAGAGATGCTCTATGACACGAGACAAAAATGTTTAAGCACCTACAATATGATCAAAAGCGACTGCATATTTAGCAAACAATTACAAACAACTCAACCAAAATAACAATATTCTAAACTTAAGCAAATAAGTATGAAATAAGTAAGAGAGAATAAAGTATGGTTTTAAGTGTCAAGAGTTACATTAGATTCAAACGTTACAAGATTTGTTTATTTATAGAGTTCCAACCGAAGTGATAACTGTTGGATAAGATCTATGTGGCCTCATCTCTCAGGTCGAAATCTCACATCACTCAGTTTATTATGCACTTAATACATTGACAACGGGTTAACCACCCAATACCCTAGATTAACAATTCTGACATTCATTATTACAAACGTTAAATCAATCATTCCTAAATATTGTATGCACATCCTCTAAAAGATAACAAGGGCTTCAGCTAAAGGGAACATCGGATTGGAGCGAGGGCTTCGGCCAAATGGAGCTTCGGATTGGAGCTCTTCGGGACAGAGAGCATCTGCTTCTTCTCTTATATCTTTACTTTGACCAATTGAATTTTTGTTTGACTTTGTCAGATCTGACTTATATCTCCACGTGGACTATGACGCGGTCATCACTTGGAGATTCAGTGGCGAGGCATAAGAGATTCCTTGATGTTTGCTTACCAATCCTATTACGTAATTTCCAGGAGATGACAGTATTTTTGTTTTGCACTTGAGGAAAGGTGAAAACTGATTTATGTACAATTGCTAGCTACTGCTGAATAACAGAAGAAAAGACAACAAAATACAACACCTTAATCAACGGCGAGTACTACTATTGAACTAAAAGTATAGGGCCAAAGCTACAAGTTCAGAACCAGTTATTTATTGTAATTTCTTGAATATTGTTCAAGTCACTATGATAGTGTATAATTATCTTGGTTACAATATGTGCAGATATGCCTAATGGATTAACACAATTTATGAGCTAGCTGTGTGGCCAAGTTGATCGGATTAAGGTTCATTTTTTTGCAAAAATAAATACTGAAATGTTGATGGATCTCGCGCAACTCTGAAAATTATCAAGTCTGAGTGACGCTGCAATTAATCGCTCTCTCTATTAGCATGTTACATGTGCATTAAGGATATTCGCAGATTTTTCTATTGCGATGACCGATTTTACAGAGTATAAAATGTTAATAGTGCCTGAGATATGTTGGTTGCTATGAAATTCTCAACTTTGACAAATTTCACATTGAATAATGTTATTCGCAATCTCTCACTACAACAGTTACCCTGCGTGGCGACATACACATGGCAGGTGATTATTTGATGCATGAGTCGATAAAAAACTACAACATTAATATATCAAATAATCACAAATCATATCGTGTGTATGCCACGTAGGACGACTACGAATAGAAAATGTCCCATTTTAGCTTTTCAATTTTTTAAATTTTATTCTGGAAAAATGTAAGGAAAGTGGGAATGGTAAGGCTACTTGTTTCCATACATTGATATTTGAGACAATTAGATGGGAATGTATAATGCTCTGTTTCCCAAAATGGACGGTGGTTTCACCTTCACCTCCCTCTATTAAAAATTAAAATAAAATAAAAAGAAAGAAAGAAAGAAATTGTTGAGAATTATTGTTAATATGTAACAATTTAATTGCATTTTGGGCATCATTTTTTTTATAAGTCAAATTATTCCTAAAGTGAATTATATAACTGGTATCAAAGCAGATGCCTTATCTTGTAGGAATTTGTTCGGTGCAAGAAGGGTGGATGCAACAATTTAATTATGCCCTTCATTGGTGTAGATTAAAGTTAGACTTTTAGTAAATTTTGATAAAAATTAATGAAATATGTGGTTGAACGTTGTGATCTTTTAAAATTAATTCTTGACTTTGATATGAGATTTTTATGAACTTTTAATTTACACAAACATATTTAAATTCCAAATCAATATAAAAAAAGTGTCTATTAAGTTTATATGCAATGTGAACACTCTTCTTACCAACTAATTTTAGAGATGAGTTCTACACAAAATTATCGTCACAAATTTATGGATTATTCCAAACTCATTCAAAGCAAAATGGAAAATATCTAAGGAAAAAAAAGGGGTAAAAGTCAAACCTAAGAGCCAGTTTGATTGTAAGAGTGGAATTTGGATGAAAAGAAAATGAATTCCAGATAATTGAATTGCCTAGAATTGTTTTCCTAGAAATTGTCAATTAATTGTATTTGATTAGTATAATTTTTCAAGTGGAAAATATTGAAATTTTGGATCTTTTGGTGTTCGTTTGACTTTATTTTACATGAAAATTGTCCATTAAATAGATATAATTTGTTTTCATTACAAAAAAAAAAATTAAAAAAAATAGTCTGAAAAACCAAATCCCACCAAATTGGTGGGAATTGATTTTCCTCAAAAACCAAGAAAAATGACCAAAAAGGGGGTTGGGTGAAAAATCATTTGCCAAGAAAATTTTGCGTATCAAACAAGCAAAAATGTGGAAAATGGAAAACCAATTCCTAGTTTCATGGAAAAAAATACTATCAAACAGTGCCTAAAACAAATGCACCCACCTGTCCTTCCCAGTTCTCACCACTGCATGAATATTGAACAAACATGTTACATGTATGTTATTCTTTACATTATTTTTTGAACATTTTAACGTGGTCACACACCAATGAACAGTTTAAATTTTGGACAATTTTTTCACCCAATCAATACTAGTCAACACTTGTAATGCCCATAAAAGTGTGTACAAATATTGTATTCTCCTTTTGCTCTGTCCCATGCACACGTAATTTCCTATCTCTTTTCCTTTCCAACTAATCAAAACACTCCCCAAATCCCAATACAAATACACCATCTATAGATGTTCACTCCATTTTATTGAGTTATCTGAGGAAAAAAATTATGGGCATATTTCTTAGCTTACTCCTTCTTGGCATATTCTCCTCAGCAACTGCCTGTGATCGTTGCGTCCATCGAGCGAAAGTCACTTCCTTTTCGAAAGCTGAAGCCCTTCAGTGTACGAATTGCAATCAATATTATCCAAAAAAACTGAAAACTTTGGCCTCCTTACTGAATTTGTCTCCTTTTTTATGCAGCTGGTGCTTGTGGCTATGGCTCTTTGGCTACAGGATTCAATGATGGTCACCTTGCAGCTGCTCACCCTAGCCTTTACAAGGAGGGTGCTGGTTGTGGTGCATGTTTTCAGGTATACTTCCATTTTTCTTTTTTCGATATATTTCGAAAAATATAACTTGATATATAAAATTGCAGATAAGATGCAATGATCAAGCTCTTTGTAGTAAACAAGGAACTGCAGTGATGGTAACAGATCGCAACAAAGATAACGGGACAGATTTTGTTCTTAGCAGTAGAGCTTTTGCGGCCATGGCCAACAAGAACATGGTTCAACACATTTTGAGACTTGGTCTTACAGATGTCCAATATAAAAGGTTTCGAACTTCTTTTATTTGTTTTATTTAATATTGTCGAGTAAAATATATAAGTTTTTAAGAGCTCAGGTATAATGAACATGATGAATCAGGATACCTTGTGATTACAAGATGAAGAATTTGAGCGTTCGTGTGGAAGAATCTAGCCACAAGGCAAATAATTATTTAGCAATTAAGTTGTTGTATCAAGGAGGCCAAACTGAAATTGTTGTCATTGATGTCGTTCAGGTATATAATCAAAATCGAACTAATCGAATTATGTATATGAATATACGGCACGTTTGGCAAATCTTCTACTTTTGGTTCTGTTTCTTGTAGAATGTGTTATTGAGGAAGTTCAAAAGCAGCTTCTTAATCATTACCAAACAGGTCCATAGTAATGACTAAATACTGGTTATGAATAATCAATGTTGGCAGGTGGGTTCAGCAAATTGGAAGTTCTTGAGTAGAAAGTATGGGGCTATTTGGGACATTGATGATGTTCCGAGTGGTCCATTGCAATTTCGGTTTTGGGTGACATCTGGGTTCGATGGAAAATGGATCTGGCCGGAAAATGTATTACCAGCTGATTGGAAAAATGGTGTGGTGTATGATATGGGCATCCAGATAACTGATATTGCAAAGGAGGGATGTTCTCCGTGCGACGATGGACCTTGGAAATGAGCTTCTTTTTCTTTTTTAAAATTACTCGAGCTGAGATTCGGGTAGATTATGCAATTCTGTATTCTCGAACTTGTTTAAACATATATATTGTTATCAACGCTTAATTCCTATCCTATGTAATGATCTTGTACGAGAATGTTCTCCTGCCCGCGGCGGGCAGGAGAACGGGACTGTGATCTTGTATTTCCAATTATACAAAATTTTGTCACAGCATTTTGCGTCAAAGTTATCGATTTGAATAAAAATAATGCTAACTATAACATCGGATAATATGTGATTGGACTAACTAAAGGTAGAATTATATGTCTCGTCTAATATGTTGTGTGAAATAATATTACTGTTTGCAATAAGGAAATCGTATATTCTTCATTGGAGTCAAAAATTAAGTTACAAAAAAAATTTCTAGCAACATAACATTAGTGAAAATAATTCAATAAATTACTACGAACGTTGCTTAAGCATTTTCATACTCTTAAATCATCATATAAGTGTGTCATTATCAATATTGTCAAATACATCATCCTTAATACACACTATTAGATTATCATTCAACCATCGAATCTCCAATCGAATCGTATGGTTCAAAATATGGGTTGAGGCCTTGAGGAGTCTAATGTTAAGGTGGAGAAAAAATAGGTCTTTCGTTGATGTTTGTGCATATGTGCTGCATAGGAAAAGACAATTATGTGCTGGCAAACTTAGATATTGGCAAAAGAATGACATTCCGGGCTTAGAGATGGCAGCGGGGCATCACGCCACTCCCTAGCCCCGCCCGCGGGGGCCTGCCCCTTTTTTTTTCCTTCAAAAATTTTCAGTTAAAATGCAAATTCAAAATTTTAAAATTCAAAGCAAATAATGCTCAAACTAACTACATCAATATCCAAAGCAAGCACTCAAAACAAACAATGTTCAAAACAATTTTTTTTTAATTCTTCACGTGGTGCGTTTGGGGCAGGGCGACGATCCCTGTCCCACCGTCCCTCCCCCGCCAATCCGTCAGGGCGGGCTTTTTTTCATCTCATTCGGGGAGGGGCGGATTTTTTTGCCATTACTATCCGGACTTGATAGAAGTTGAGAGACAAAAAGTGGAAGGAAAAAAATCGTTCAAATAGGCAAATGGAAAAAAAAATTAAATATTTTTTTTTTTTTTGTGGGATCTGTTGACCACACCCATATGACCACCGTCCATGCTCTTTGGGTAAATAGCATAAGTCTGAGAAACTAACTTTAATTGACCAAACTCGACCATAAAATTGGACACTCTTGTGCTAAGTTAACTTTCTTGTAGACTTTTAGCTAAGATTGGTTAGTGTTTACTTTTTAAAATTCGGCCTTGAGTGCTTCTCTAGAAATCTCTTCTGCAAGCATAACTAGGCAAGAGTTCGGGTCCGATTTTCGATAGTTTAAGTTCGGCAGAAACATTTATGTCTAGATTTGTAGGCCGAGAAAATATTCAGCTTCGACTTCAAGTATAACGTGTCATGTTATTCTTCACGTTATTCTTGTGTTAAAATCTTGTTTTCTCCTTTTATTTTATTTTATTTATTTATGGAAAATGATTATGAATTTTCCTGTGGTCTGATTGGCCAAAAAATTTGGTCTTCTTTTTAATTATTACTGTAAATTTTGAAGAAACGGTAAGTTTAAAGTTTTTTTCCTCTGACGTGGGCTTCAAGATGCTGGGCCTGGAATTATTTCTGCCTTCTGACCCACGTATACGGTGTTAATAGTGGGCCCCCAATATGTGGAGTATATGGTTTCCTTTTGAGAAAATTACCTAGAAACCTACTTCTAAAGTTTCATTTTCAAAAATCAGGTGGACTAATTTTTATTTCACAAATCAGGTGTTAATTAGGTTTTAATAATTAATTTAATTAAACCTAATTTACCTATTCACCCCTACCCACCCCATTCAAATTTCTCCTCCTAAGCATTCTCTCTCGTCTTTTCTCATCAGTCACCATAAAACCCTCACCCCTATTCCTGTATTCTTTCTCCCCCTTCTTGCTCTACCCACCACACATTCATCTTCATCTTTAAAATTACCGGTGCGGCGGAGCTTCTCGTCGGGTTGGAGGCACTTGTGCTGCTCGTTAGTCCGCCGTCGACATCACTGCTGCAAGCAATCGTCAGTCGCCTCGCCCCACTTTAGCTCCCTGCTGCAAGCAATCGTCAATCATCAGTCGCGCGCCACTTCTCGTCGTCAACGGCACGTCGTTGGTGATGCGGATGTTAGATTTGGGTGAGATGGTGATGCGATGTCGGGTTGTAGGATGTTGGTGGTATTCTTCACTCGTGTCTTCTTCCTAGCTGTATTCCGAGTTTTGTGTGTGCCCAATGGATCAATAGTTTGCACTAACAACAATTATGCTTCAAGGAATTCTCCCCATACATTTACACAAACTCGATGTTGAAGGAATTGATTCTGTACTAGCTTCTGTTCTGAAATGGGTGGTGGTTGTGAAAATCTGTTAAATAGTGGTATATGGGTTGTGGTGGTGGTTATGGTGGCGATTTTTGTAATATTTTGGTGTGGTGTTTTGTGATTGATGTGGTGGTGGTAGAGGCGTAGTCGGCGCAGCTGCAGAGTAAGAAGGCTGCAACTGGAGTTGGTGGTGTCGGCGAACATTTTCCGTTCTATGACCAGATCACGATTTGACTACCGGGTAGTTTGTTGTGACCTTTTGTGACTGGTTAATAGTGACTCGTTGTGACCGATTGTGACCAATTATGATCGATTGTGATTTGAAATTCTAAAAATTTTTTGGAAGTTGGGAATGGGTGGATGGGGTGGGTAGGTTGATCGGAGCATGCGTTGGAGTGATCATTGGAACAATTTGTCAGAGGGATCTTGAATAGCCGCCGAAGAGAGCGTCGGGGTGATAGTCGAAATAGTCACCAGAGCGGCCGCAGAAGAGATCGCCGGAATAGTCACCGGAGCGGCCGCCGAAAATGTCGCCGGAGAGATCGCCGAAACCGATGGAGAGAAGGGGTAGGAAGAGGATAGAGACTAGAGAGAGAAAATGATTTGGATTTGAAATTTAATAAATTGAGGTAATTGTATTATATTATAATTAAAAATATTTAATTAATTGATTTAACACCTGATTTTTAAAAGATTTTTGAAGTTTGTTATTTTTGAAATGTAAGTCTTATATATAGGATTTATGTATTGTTCCCTTTCATTTTTTAAGAAATTAGTATTTCTATTAGGGTGAATGGCACAAAAATCCCATGACAAATTGCGAAATATCTTTATATCTTTTCATTTTTGCGGAATATCCACTATATGACCTTTTCGGTGCGAAAGGCCTCAATTTCTTTCATTTTTTTAAATAAAATCTTGGGAAATGATGAATATACACTCATCTTTAAATAAAACAAAAAAGAGAAGAAGAAAAATAAAGAATTAATTACAGTCGTTGTTTCAATTTTTTTTTTTTTTCAAAAAAGTGAAAACGAATCCAAAATAAATATTTAAAAAAATAAAATCATTTCCCTCCCAAATCCCACCACCACCACTACCACCACCACATTAACCCTAGTTTGGTGGTGTTTTTTTTTTTAGAAAAAACATTGTTTTGAGTAGTGAATTTTTGAGAATGTGTGGTTAAAAAATGGTGAAGGATTTTGTTATGTGAATATGTGATTAAAAATGAGTATATAAAAAAAAGAGTATTGAAATAATTGGAGATAAATGGAGACTAAGATTATGTTTTACCGAGTCTACTTAGTTGTAAAATAAATCTCACAACCCGCATGTTCACTGTTCAGTGCTGACACTCCAAAACGTCTTATTGTTGCCGTTCAAAGTCGCGTGCGCAATATAATGTTTACAATTTGTCATATTTAGTTCATGTTTCTAAAGTTTTAAATTTTATTCAGCCCGTTTGATGGAAATTATTTGGAAAAAAATAAGGGCATGTTCTCTTTGTATTTTAGTTTTGAGTTTTGAATTCATTTTGAGTTTTGTATTTTGAGTGTCCATTTTGAGATTGTTGAAAATGTGTTCTTTTTGGCATTTTGAAAAATTGTTTTGAAAATACCCAAAACGCGTTTTGAAAATTTTGGCTTGATTATAAGGGCATGGTCTCTTTGTATTTTAGTTTTGAGTTTTGAATTCATTTTGAGTTTTGTATTTTGAGTGTCCATTTTGAGATTGTTGAAAATGTGTTCTTTTTGTCATTTTGAAAACACCAAAAACGAGTTTTGAAAATTTCGACAGGATTATAACTGAAAACAACCAAAACGAATTTTCTTTATAAATTTTTAACTTATTTTCAAAAACGCATTTTGAAAATAGGAAAGAAAATGTGTTTTCACTGTTTTGAAAAATCAAAAATAGAAAACGACTTGAAAATAGTAAAGGGAACATGCCCTAATATTTTGAATAATGAATTTTTAAAGAATGTGTGGTTAAAAAGTAAGAAAAGATTTTAAATTTACATGCAAAATATTTTAATGTATGAATGTGTAATTAAAAAATGAATACGTGGAAAAAAAAAGAATTTTAAAATAATGGTTACCAAATATGAACTTAAATGGCAAAATATATTATTAATCTATACCTAGAATCGATAATTTAATATTCATAGCTTAATATTATTATGGGTTGTGTTACTTGTATATTATGGCATCCATAATGGATGACATAATGTACAAGTGGCAGTATATTATTGGAGGGTGTGCTGGCCCACCGGCGCACCCTCCAATAGGATAATTCCACTTGTACATTATGTCATCCATTATGGATGGCATAATGTACAAGTAGGATTATTCTAAAAGCAATAGCATAGTGAAAAGGAAAAT